ACTCTTTCTTCATATTTTGTGATGGCTGGATATAATATACTGGTTACTGTAGCTACAACCCACGTCATTATATTTTGAATTATGCTATTTAGTTCTTCAGAAGTTACCTAAAAAGAGATAATCAGATAAAAATTAAGTCATATAAGTATTTATTCCATATTTGGGAAATATGGGGTTAGCGTTCAATTTTTTATATTAAACAATTATATAATAATTTATAATATAAGTATAATACCAGCATGATTTATAAGAAAATGAAAGAAAAAATCTGTTCAGAATCTGTTCAGACTGTTTTAAGCTGGTTTATTTTATACTAGAGAAAAAATATTTTGAGCATAAAATTTCATTTTATGTAGAAGAAACTATATAAGAAACTATAGATTATTTCTCAACATTCATAACTTGGGTAAATAAGTTTAAAATTAAAGTTATCAAATTGTTATTTAGTCATATCTCATAAAAAGTTTTGGAAAAAAACCCAGTGTGGTATTCATAACTCTGCTATATATTTTGAAAACTGATTCAATTATTTCAAATTATTTCTCCAAACAGATATAGTAAACATATTTTGGAATCCTTCAGAAGTATTTGTCTAGCTTCTATATGGGGATGAAAAATAAATCATCTTCATGTCTACTCCATGCTACAACAGTAAGCACACAGTCTGTTTTTATGGAATACAAAAATTAGTGTATTTTAGAGTGACTTTGTAGCTAACATGACTAATCAGAACAAACTATGAAAACATAAAATAGATGAAAATACAAGACATGACAAAAAGGCTGACTGGTTGTTCCTACTCAAAATACACGGAGGGTAAACAGAAATTACTCATGTTTTAAGTCAACATTACATAAAAATCTAGAATCTGTGTAACACCCTCTCTGCTGATCAATTTTGAAGCTCTTAGGGAGCACCTAATGAAAATCCAATAGGCTGTAATTACCCAATTTTTTAAAATATCTTTTCACTACTATGATAGATGATGGCTAATGCTTTGATAATCACAGATTGAAGTGACTGCAAGTATAAAATTCTTGTTTACATAAATATATCTTTAATTGAAGATTCTAATAATAAATCATAAATTTTAAAGTATGAGATAATTATTCTAAATGAACAATACTGAATGTATATATTGAAATGTCTACAATATTTTTATACAAGATATAATGAACAACAGAACCATACTCCTGTTCTTAAACTAGGTGAAGGATAAAGCATTTCCAATTGAAATATAAAAAAGAGGGCAACTTCTAAAGTTTTGAATGTAACAAAATGAGGTTAAAGGAATCTTAGTTTTTCAATTTCTTTCAATTATGATATTAAACAGAGAAACATTCCTTAAATTGAATCTTTGTGTGTGCTTCATGCTTTATTAACTGAGTAAGATTCAATGAAAAAAGGCCCACTGCTGTTATATTTCTCAAGGACTATACAGAGTTAAATGTTATTTAACTATGCCACTTTTTCTTTTCTTGCTTCAAGTCTAAGCTCACAGGTGAGCAAGTACTTTTGCCTGTGATCTTTGGTAGCAGGTTCTTCCCACAAGAGTTGCTGGAGACAGAATCAGGCATCTTAACTAATTTTCTACGGAGTTAGCCATCAATATCTGCAAAGCTATACTGATTAATAATATCTCATTAGGATGAGATTCCATTATCTCATGCTGTTCATCAATGCCAGGTCCCTGAATGTTTACTCTGTGGTACACCCAAGAGGCCTTCCTAAAGTATCAAGGGTTTTTTTTTGTTGTTGTTTTGTTTTTGTTTTTGTTTTTTTGAGACAGGGTTTCTCTGTGTAGCTTTGTGTCTTTCCTGGAACTCGCTTTGTAGACCAGGCTAGCCTCAAACTCACAGAGATCTGCCTGCCTCTGCCTCCCGAGTGCTGGGATTAAAGGCTTGCACCACCACCGCATGGCTTTCAAGGGTATTTTTGATAACAATTTTAGACTATAAGGAAACTATTAAAATCATCTAAAAGTAAACTTCCATTATAATAAAAGGCATAGGGTATGAACAACAAATATCAATAGATGATTGTTGGTATCTGATTTACATTTTTTCTAGAATGGCATATGGTAATTAATATACTGTCTTATCAGTTAACTTTGTGATACATACTTTATTTTGCAAGCAATTTTGGAGATTTTGCTGCCTGTAAAGTTAAGAAATAGTTATGATTTAGTTAAGTTAGGACAAATAATTTATGAACATACTTTCAAAATTCATATTTTTATTGTTTCTTTTTTATGAGAGGTATTCTACATAAATACAAAATACCCTAAAATTTATTTTGCTTTCTTGAATGTTCTATTTAATGTTCTGCTAAGATACAGTCCTGTAGACTCAAAATTGTGCTTTGTTTACTCAGGAGAGTACAATCACAGTACGCAATATATCACGTAAACAATGCATGATTTTGGTGGTTGGAACTCTGATATACCTTTGACATGTCCATTTTGTGATTTTCTGGGGAGTGACACAGGATAAGAAAGGAAGGAACAGATGATTACTCTAGTCTATCTACTAATAGAGCTGATGGAATAGTAAATTTTCTGATCATAGCTCTCTGGTAGTCCTCTATCTGCATTTTAAGATCCTATAGTCACAACCTCATTTTGCTACATCTCACAGTAGAGAGAGAGCATGCAGATTTCTATTCAGTAACTACTGGATAGAATCCTGGGTTTCTGATTACTTTCAATGCTAACTTCAATCACCTTTGTGTAATGATGTGATGGACACATCTTTTCATGTGTTGTAATTAGATTTATTATTACATACTAATGAAATGAAGGGTAGTTTATGAATTATAAAACAGTATAAGAACTCAGTAATTAAAAATTATAATAAATAAGTCTGAAAACTGAGTTCTGATTGTCCCAAACATGGACTATTTAAATGCCTAAGCTCTTCCTACTTCCTTAGTCAAGTTAGCACTCTTTAATTTTCTTAAGCCTATACATTCCAAAATTATTTTTTCAAAAATATAAAACAAAATTTTGAAAAAAAGTCTAAATATTGCAACTTACTTGTGCAGAAGCAAAACAAAACAAAACACTTCAATTGTTGTAGCTCAGAAATGAGTTTGGGAGCCTGGCATTATGGCTGGGCTTTCAGTTGTGTAGGAAGATTTAGTTCATGAGCTACCATGAGCTAGCCTGGGACTATGACAGGAGAGAAGAGAGGAGAAAAAAGAGAAAGAAGTAAGAGGTGAGGGGGAGGCTTGAAAAGAGAGTAAAGAAGTGGGAGAGAGGAAGGAAGAGGTAGGAAACAATAGTCTACAGACTAGAACTTTTCTCAGATCTAGTTTGTTAAATCAACTCAAAGATCCACATTTTATTATTTATTATTTTGGATTGTCTAAACTTAACCTTAAGGTTTTTTTTTTTTTTTGTCTTAAGGCATAGAATAGAGTCCTACTGCTCTCTGCACTGACAGTCTGCCATATGTCCAAACAGACAGCAAAGACCTATGAAAGACCTAAAGAAATAGATGAAAAGTTGGCCTTAAGTATTGACTCTATTAGCTGCCAGCATAGCTCAGTGAGTGCTGCAGTGCTTGCCTAGTATGGAGGAGGCACTTCACTAAATCCCCAGAACCCTCCAAAGGAGCAATTGCTTTTTAATGCCAGCCATAAGAATAAAAAATAATGGAAGAGTAAAGACCTTCAAAAATTCATTCTTTTCATTAAAGAAATGAACACTGACTAAAAACAGTCAGGAACATAATTCTACAATTCTTAAAAAAATGAAGGCTTGCACCATTTCATACATATTTATTTTAGAAAGATATCTAAATGTATATAATGTAGGAGTTTTAAATTGGTCTATACTGCTTCCTTAAAATAATTCATCATAATCACAAGGAATTAATTCTGTAAATCTTGATATTTACCTAACATCTGGCATTGTTCCTTAAACACAGTGCATTTTCAATAAATGGTTTTAAAGATGTGCCTACTTACATCAAATCTCAAATGAAGACCATTAGTGAATGGTTCTTTGCCTTCAGTTTTACTGATGTATTGCTAACAAAGCAATTAATTGTATGCTAATTTGATCACAATATTATTGTTCCAAACTATTGGACTAATAAACAATTAGTACAGGCTCTAAACTTCAGTCTGTATGGCAGAGTATTTCAAACTTAATTGTCTAACGCTTAGTTTTTACAACTCTCCTGCCACTGCTAACACAATGTATCTCAATTCTCTGTCATGAATTTTCATTTTTACATTAGCAACCTTTTGCATTTATACTTTTAAAAAGGACAAATAAGTATTTGAGGGGGGTGAAGGTTGGTTGACATTAGAACAAATGTAGGGTCCCATTGGTAAAGTCTTTCATGATACATAGTTAAATTGGTACGTGTGATGAGCAGGAGTTGAGCAGACAGTAAAGGGGGTTATAATGTTCTTCCTTTAGCACTTACTTATCATATAAATAGAAATAATCACTATCTGCACTTGGTAGGCATCTATCTGCCTCATTTTGCTTGTTTGGATAAGACTCATTCTTTCTGGCTGTAACACAATGCTATGTATTCTGTGAGCATTCACTGAGTTCTACATATTAACACCCATCAACCTCACGTTGTAACTCTTCATGGACAATACTTAGTCTGAATACGAAAATTATTTGTCATCAGAGATCTTTTCTTTTATATAGCCTTTTACACAGGAATCTAGGTTTGTAAAGTGTATAGTTTAGTTTGTATTTCATTTGCTTTGCCAATTTCATTTTAAGTTTTTAGCATTGGGTCACTGGGAAGACAGTCTTGTGTAAATAGCTTGCTGTGCATGAGAACTGGATTTCAATCCTGATCACACACACATAAAGGCTTCATTAGGTTCAGAGAAAGACTCTGCCTAATAAAAATAAAATATCAAAGAGAAGATGAAGACAACCAGTGATGTTGACTTCTGTCTTCTGTCTGTGTACATATGCACACACACATACTAGCCCCATATAAACATTTTTTTTAAAAGATCACAATGATTCTAAAACAGTAGCTGCTTCTTTTCAAGTTGAAAAAATGCTAAAATATCTTTTCCCCATTATTTGTTTGAGAAATGAAAAAAATTCTACTAAACATCACTAAAGGTTTCAATTTCCAACATGGGTATTATTCTGGACAACACTGCAATTATTTTTAAGGAGAAAGATGATCAAGTCATTGAAATGGTATGATGAACTGCTTTATCATCTTTTAGAAACCAATAATCTGAAAAGTCATAGGTAAATATTTCAAAGAGAAATACAAAGAAACCCTGGAGAAAAGGGCAAAGATCATGGGTACAGAGAGCAAAGGACTGGATAGCAGGAAGGAGGGTGGCCTTCACTATGTCTACAACTCAAACTCAGTTTTGAAAGTTTTTAAGCAATGACGTTTCAGTAAATTGAAGTAGAACTACAAAAAAAGAGGAAGATTTTATGTAGTCATGTACTTAAGCAATTATCCAAATATGAATACATGATTTCATGTTAATAATTTGTATACTTACATATTTGAGTAAACAGGAGAAGAAAAAATACCCGGGGGTGGAGCACCACCCTGAGATCCTAAGCATCAGGAAAAGAAAACTATAGTTTATATTCATCCTCA